CGACGCCCCTTGTGAGGTGTAATAAGAATTTAGAGGAAAACAAATTTTAATAGATTTTATTGCCTTAAATTAAGTGAACTACAGTGTGTGCTATTTTAGGGCATAGCAGTTAGACCACGACTATGATGGCTTGAATCAGGAAGCATGCAGCTGCATATGTAATGAATGCATTATATTAGTGCAGTGTAGCAATTTTAGTACAGTAAAGCACCTGAAGATGACCATTTAGGGCCGAAACATGTGTCGGAAGTGAAAGTGTAAGGAAGAAGGAACAGTTTGTTGCATTGTTGAAGGACTGTGTAGTACATAAACAGTTTCAGATATAGTAATGCAACAGGATACTTAAATACAAGATTGCAGATAGTAGTCACACTAGAGTCATATGGTTTACTTCGCTTAAAAGTTACTACGTTCAAAATGCGTAGCTTTAAGCCCATACACTCGAGCTTCCTGTAGAGATATTACATTTAGCCCGAGAAGAGGCACAGTGTTTCAAACCACGTTATTTGGCGGTATCATCAATACATGAACAGGAATGGAAACTAAGATAGAAACCGTACGAAGTAAAATTCCGTGGCCTTTAGTCCGCAAGCGAACTATACCGACCGAGATACCGCCGCTTGTCGGCGAAGTTAATGCAAACTTTAGCGGATAGAGGGTGTCGCGTCGCCGTTAATCTCGGTTTTCTAGACCGGAGCCACTATTTCCTTGAAAAAGCTCCTCAATTATTCTCACGAGACTGAGTGGACCCCTTTCCAGACCCACTACTTCTCAGAAAAGTTGGTAGCGCTGGGAATCGAACCTGGGACCTCTGGATCTGTAACCAGGAACTCTGACCACTAGACCACAGAGGCGGTCAACCGTACGAGGTAGCCCATTAATAATGACACCTCAGTCTATAGGAAAACAGGCTTATATCAAAATGAGAGACATAAGGACGGATTAAAAATAAAGGAAACAGAAATATACGATGTAGATAAATCAAGAAAGAAATTAATAAATGCACAAAAGAATATTGCAGGAACTGGTATACAAGAATCAAATTACAAAAGAAAGTAAGATAATTCCACCACGGCTCTTGTCTGTAGTCAGGGGCTTGTACGTTACGTCCAGCTGAGGCGGTAGGACAAAGCGACTCACGCTCCGGCCCTAAAACGAACCAAACAAACGTGGAAGGAATAGGAAGGAAACAAGGAAAGCAAAGCCGGAAAGACAAATAAATTAAAGGAATTTTAATGTCTTTCGATGAACAAAGAAATGTTCTGTCCCCAGCCGTTGTACCAGCCTGAGTTAACTGACGCTGAAACAACGCAAGTGGTTTTATTGGCTAAAATCCCGCTTTTAAAGAATTCTTTCATTGAACAAAACGTCCTCGCACCTGGAGTCCTTGATGACGGAGTTCCTGAAGTAAGTGCGGCTGGACTTTATGATCTCGAAGCGAACGTCCTCTACAGTGCAGTTGTCGAAGCTTACATGGTTGAACGTCAGGTGGTGGAAGGAGCAGTTCTTGAAGAAGCTGTCTATCCAGCGCACATTTTCAACTGAAGTGTTGAAGGCGTGCCCGTCGTACGTGGCATTTGTGATGAGACTGGTCCTTGCGTCATACTCCCACGTGCTTACCAGCTTCTTGTAGTCTGGGAACCAAGTCCTCATGCCGTAGTACCTGCAACACGCGTCACAGTGAATGGAGCCTTGTGAGCATCGCCAATATGTGCAGAGCTGAGGGAAACTTTACTTAGCCTAATAAGAATAAAACTCAAGGAATCGTCGGTTTGTAGTGAGAGAGATGCGCTAGTGTGAACAGAACTCCGTGAAGCGTCCATCAGCAACACGCGCGCCTATGTGAACAGAGTTTCAGGAAACGTTGATTCAGCCATTCGTTCCTGCATGAGCACAGCTTCAAGGAGGAAGACAAAGTAAAGGAGTCCCTGTAACAGGCCCTGAAGGCCCATAGGTTTGTGAGAGTTTCAGATTCCCACACTTTCTCTAGACAATAGGCACATAGATGGCGGTAAGGTTCTCAGCCTTACGCGCCGGCCGCCGTTTACCCCCCAGGAAGATTTCTGGTGCTCATTTCTGTTAGAGCCTGAGTCGCCTCCAAGGCCATAGTGCGGCTGGAAGGATTAGGTAAATCGAAAAAAATCCACCTCATCGGGACTCGAACCCGTGACCCTCCGGCTTGTAGCATAGTGTCTTAACCAATTACGCTACCGCGTGCCCCCACAGCTTCAAGAAACATCGATTAATACACTAGTTAGCTAGTTAGTTAGTTATTGGAGAGGGTGGGTTTCCCCATGCACTTAGACCTGTATTGGTCCATTGTGCTTCCCTCTATGATTTCTACCAGTCTCTATATCCTACCGGTACTGGTGCTTACCATCAGTCCCGCCCAGCCAGCGAGACCGGCTCTACTGGCTGAGAAGTATCTATAATGCTTCCCCCATCTACCGGAGGTATTAGTGACTGCTGTTGGGCGGCAAACGTCCGTAATTTGGCTCAGTGACCTCCTTTGGAGATATGAGGTTCTTTTACGTGCTGTAAAGCTACGACACGGGACCCACGGCTTAAAGTCCCTCCCGGAGGACTTGTTCCCTGAATTTTCCGCCCTTAAAAATACCGCCGGGTATTTGAACCTGCGTACTACGAGTCATGAGGTGGGAACGTTACCTCTAGACTACGGAGGCCGCTGATTAATACACTAACGCAAGGGTTGAAATCGCAGAATGTACTTCAATAACAATGCGTTTGTTAGATTTACAAGTAACAAATTGATGTTTGTCAACTTGTCTGTACTTCAGTAATAAAAATCAGGCGACGAGTGCCTAAATTACGTTTTCACTCACAACTTGCATAAAGAATTTAACCCATTTTGCTTGAAAGTAAGTGTACAAAAATATCTTCCAAACTTGGCAGTTGTCACTGGTTCTCAGTAACTGAGTGAGAAATCGTCATTAATAAAAGGAGCAGTTTTGTGGAAGAACTCCTTGACGCGTAGGATAATCTTACTTTTCCAATAAACTACAACAGAGAAGGAGCCGGTGTAGGGTAGTCGGTATAGCGACTGGCTACGAGATGGACAACTGAGGGGTCAGAGTTCGAGTCCCAGTAGGGTCAAGAATTTTCTTTTCTCCAAATCGTCCAGTCCGAATCTGGGGTCCACCCAACCTCCTATCCAGTGGGTACCGGGGGATCTTTCCCCGGGATAAAGCGGCCCGGGCTTGTAGCTGACCACTCACCTCCAACTAGTACCGAGGTCAAGAGAATGTGGATCTATAAATCTACTCCCCCTTACGCCCTTATGCCATAGTGCGTAATTCGTTGAGCACAGGGACAACTTTACCTTTACCTCAACAACACATAATTACTAATAATGTATTCTTCCATTAGAATTGAGGGACAACAACAGCAAAGTGTCGCCTAAAGTTTTCTTTCTCTGTCGTTCGGCAGTCCACCTCATCAAGCTTACGAGAGACATAGCTGCGAGACAGAATGCAATTGTCATCTTCCCCAAACAGCTGCAACATTTCTCTGTTGTCGGTTCGCATTCTGACAGCGGTTTCTGTGAGGTGAACATAGCACGCCGCCATTTTACTCAGGTCTCAACAGAAACACTAGGAAACAGTTGCACGGTCCTGGCGTAATGTGCCTTGCCTTGAAAGTTTCAGTCACGGTCATGGGCCCTCACTCGCCTCGCCCCAACACTTGACTACAAACTACCGTCTCAACCAGGTCGCTTTGTCGTCCACAGGATAGCACAACGACAAGGCTGAAACTAAAATCACTTCGTTTCTAATTTTGGAACATTATACTGTCAAGATACAAACATTAAAAAGGAAAATTCTCCCTGTGCTTAACTAATTAAACACTACATCATGAAGGCGTATGGCCTTGACCTCGGCACTAGCTGGAGGTGAGTGGTCAGCTTCATGCCCCTGCCTCTTTCACGCCAGGGAAAAAGTCCCCGGTGCCCATTGCATAAGAGTCTAGGTGGGTCCCAGTGGAGAAGTGAAAATTCTTGCCCACACCTGGACTCGAACTCCAACCATCCGGTCGTCCAGCCCTCAGCCACGCTATCCCGGCTCCTACACAAATATTACATCAGTATTTTAAGTGGGACACTGTCCACGTGGTCCAGTTGGCGAGCCGCCACTGCTAATAGTAACTTGCAACCTGACGTGAAAACTCACCCGAATGAAGCAGTGAACCAGAGCACTATGAGGAGGAGGGTGACTGGCAGGTGTGGTTGCACAAACAGTTGCAGGAATGAGTTCCAGAACTGCCAACATAACAAAAGCAAAAGTCAGCAATTACACCTACCGCACCGTTCAAAGGTCCGAATGCCCTTCAGAAAATGTATCTGATTCATTTAATGTCTCAACTAAGAACTGAACCTTGGACAATTTAACAACTTTGTTTCGGCGAGTCCTACGTTAGGATGAAGTGGGAAGTGTGAGAAGGAAACATATCGTGTGTCTGCAAGCTACGTACCACAGTTTACCTAGTTCCATGAAGGAAAACCACGGGGAACATCAGATCGCACAGTCATTATGCTGGTGTTACTGACAGGGAAAATAAAGCAGACGATGGAGTTATGGGCTGATGTTCACAACACGTCACGTGTTTCCCCCTCCACATGCTACACTGAGCATTATACGCTGGCACGTTCAACCCTCTTAGTTGTCCCTATGCTTAACGAATTAAGCACCAAGCCGTGAAGGCATATTGGGAAGTGGATTTATAGATCCACATTTTCGTGACCTCGGCATAGTTGGAGGTGAGTGGTCAGCTTCACGCCCAGGCCGCCTTATCCGCGGCAAAGAACCCCCGGTACCCATTGGATAGGAGGCTGGGTGGGCCCCAGAGCCGATTTGGACGACGTAGAGAAGAGAAAATTCTTCACCTTACCGGGACTCGAACTCCGCCCCTCGGTCGTCCAGCCCGTAGGCAGTCGCTATTTACTGTAGTACGAAATACCACCAAAAATTTCCTCATTCGATATAAGGTGCAGTCAGATTCACGGTAGGTACGTATTTGGAAGGGGAAGCCGTGAGCATCATGCTCGCGACAATGTATTGTTGAGATAATCCTATAAGTCCTCACCATCTCGATGCTGTAGGTCATGTCAGCCAATACAGACTTGCCGGGAGGGGGGGTTGAAGACACCCCGCGACCCGAGGGGCGCTTGCTGGGCAGCTCCAACTCTGACAACTGGTACTGCGCATGTGCGGTAGGATTGTTCATGTTATTGGTCTTGTAGATTTTCTGCAACATCATAAAACACATAGAACACTTCCCAAACACTCGAAATAGACATTCTGTCTATTGCAATTGGAAGACCTACATGTAGATGGGTATAAGGTAAAGTTGTCCCTGTGCTTAAATAATTAAACACTACGTCATGAAGGCGTATGGTGGAGTGGATGTATAGATCAATATTTCCTTGACCTCGGCACTAACTGGAGGTGAGTAGTCAGCTTCACGACCCGGCCGCTTAACCCCGGGGAAAGCGCCCCCGATACCCATTGGATAGGAGGTTGAGTGGACCCCAGAGCCGGTCTGGAGGATTTGGAGAAGAGAAAATTCTTGACCCTACCGGGATTCGATCTCCGACTCCTCGGTTGTCCAGCCAGTAGCCAGTTGTTTACCGACTACTCTGTCCCGGCTCCTCTGTGGTTCGTTAAGAAGTAAAAAACATTTGAAGTACGGACTCTTAGTTTCCACTGCTTCCAATAGAACATATGCATTCATGTTGGTAAGTAAAGTAAGTAAGTAAAGCTGTCCCTGTAACAGGCCGTGGAGGCCCATAGGGTTGTGAGACGTTGAGGGTCCCACATTATCTAGACAATCGGTTCACAGATGGCGGCAAGGTTGTCAGCCCTACGCGCCGGCCGCCCTTTACCCCCAAGAATATTCCTGGTACTCATTTCTGTTAGAGGCTGAGTCGACCCCAGAGCCATAGTGCGGCTGGAAGGACGAAAAAAATCTAATGACCACATCGGGACTTGAACCCGCGACCTTCCGGCTTGTAGCATAGTGCCTCAACCAACTGTTAGTAATTAAGTTTTGTTAACTCAGCCAGCAGAGAGTGTAGTCCCGGATGGTTATACTTGCTGTAGGGTCAATATTACCAGAAGGCTTTGAGTCCACGCACCCTACTTTACATTGAACCTGGTGGCTCTGTCCTCAGGTGGAAAAGGCAAGAGCGTGAAGCTGACCGCTACGGTTACCAATGCTCCACATATACACCTTTATAAAGTTGTGTTTAAGCAGAGGGACTTTTGGGTTTTACTAGGGGCTCCGTACCGCGTGCTCACAATCTAATCACAACATTCAGTGTTAAACAAATACAAAATACGTTAGGTTTCAAGAAATTCTAAATGAGCATATTTCACAAAATGATGACAGCTAACGACAGAGAAACTTTTGGTGAAAGTTTTACATACATATCGTTACATTTAGAAATACCTATAACAGGGTCATGCAGCTCTCTATGGGTACACTGTGTTACTATAATTACACGCAGCATCATTACGATTTGATTGTGAAGACAGAAAAACTGAAATGTGCACAAACAATAATTCAAGGTCAACAAATTGAAGACTATGGAAATTCGTTGTCCTTTTGTCTTCTCGTCTGCTGTTTAAAAACATAAAAATCAGAATATACAAAACTACTAGAACAATTTTGCCTGTGGTGCTGTATGGTTGCGAAACTTGGTATCTGACATTAAGGGAGGAACATAGACTGAGGGTGTTTGAGAACAGGGTGCTGAGGAGAATATTTGAACCAAAGAGAAATGAAGTGACAGGAGGTTGGAGAAAACTGCATAATGAGGAGCTTCATAACTTGTACTCTTCTCCAAGTATAATTAGAATGTTCGAGTCAAGGAGGATAAGATGGGCAGGGCGTGTAGCACAAATGAGGGCAAAGAAGAATGCATATAGGATATTGGTGGGAAAGCCAGAAGGAAAGGACCATTAGGAAGACTAAGACGTAGGTAGGTGGACAATATTAAAATGGATCTTAGAGAGATAGGTTGGGATGATATGAATTGGATTGATCTGGCTCAGGATAAGGATCAGTGGAGGGCTCTTGTGGGCGCGGTAATGAACCTTCGGTTTCCATGAAATTCTTTGAATTTCTTGAGTAGCTGCACAACTGGCGGCTTCACAAGAATGGCTTAGGTCCATGAAGTTAGGTACGCGTCACAAGATCGACTGGACCCAGTCTGATTTAATACCGTGTTGTCTGGCACTGCCTGACTTGCGGAACAACAGAATATGTGCATTGGTGATATTATTAGTTTCCAGTGTTCTTGTAAAGATAACAGTTTGCAAACCGCTTGGCTGTCATATGATGAATGTATCAAGATCCAGCTATGGTTCGAAGGAGATATAGTAAGTCCAGCAATCGCCTGATTGCAGTGGTGGTACTACAGCTTTACCAAGTCACAGCCTATAGTTTGATATAGGTATATCAAGTAGTGCAGATGATTTTGAATGTTTTCCGTAATCAGGTGATTCTAAGGTACAAGTCTGACATTTGCCCACAACTGGCATAAGCGGATACTGAAAGAAAATTCGCCTAGAGATGTAATTATTGCCAGCATTTGAGGGGGGGAGGGAGACGCCCGAAAAACTAGTGACAAACTCGAAGTAATGTTTGGTGTGGCTGAACTTTCCCCAGAGAAAGATGATGTAGGCAGTAAGCAGGTTTCCGTCAATGTAAGATTTCACGTTTCACGACAACACAAAACTGACAGGACTGTTCATGTGTGTGCATGTGTGTGCGTGGGTGCCGAAATACGCATATATATATATTTTTTTTTGGTGCTCAGTAAAATAATTGAATCTGAAAACAAGAAGCATACAGAGAGTTGAGGATATTACATAACGACGACTTCCGTGATTTATGCACGTCACACTTGCCACTGTTAGAATATGCAGTGAAATTAATGAGATTATGAATGGCTGTACATGCAGCTAGCATCGAAAGATAAAAGCACACGGAATTTCGTTGAGAAAATTTACTCGAAGCAAGAATTGGAAGAACTATATTATATATAAAATTTTAGGTTCTCACAGCGGTAGTCATGATGAGTTATAACTTCTGATATGTAATGCGGTGTGGAGACACTATGCTACAAGCCGGAAGGTCGCGGGTTCGATTCCCAATGACGTCATTGCATTTTCCAATTTAACCTAATCCTTCCAGCCACGTTATGGCCCTGGGGTCTATTCAGCCTCCAACAGAAATTAGTGCCAGGAATCTTATTGGCGGTAAAGGGCTATCGGCGCTTAAGGTTAATAACCTCACCGCCATATGTATTATTATTATTATCATTATTATTATTATTAGAGGGGGTGGGTTTCCCCATGCACTTAGACCAGTTATTGGTCCATTGTGCGTCCCCTTTTAATTTCTATTGTCGCCATACCCTACCGGTACTGGTGCGTGCTATCAGCCCCGTTCAGCCAACGAGGTCGGCCGTCCGTACCTGATATTTCCCCCTTCTACCAGAGGCATTGGAAACTACTTGCCTAATTTTGCTCAGAGGTCTCCTAGAGACATGAGAATCTTTTACGTGCCGTAAATCTACGACACGGGACCCACGGCTTAAAGTCCCTCCCTACGGAGGCCGCTCACCGCCATCTGTCAGTCGATTGTTTAGAAAATCTGGAAGCCTCGACGTCTGACAACCCTATGGGCCTCCACAGCCTCTTACAGGGATAGCTTTACCTTTATGTTTATGTAATGCGGTGCAGTCGGGTAAACATCGTAGTCAAATATGGGTCCATTTTCAGCGGATTACACGGAATTAGTCTCAGAGAAAGGAATCCACATTGAGATGGTTCTTAGGCACGTAGGTTATGAGGATGGGAACTCGATGGAACGGGTTCAGTTTACAGCACTAGATAACGTTACCTGGTAAACCATCATGGCTTCCACTTCCCTTCCGGCCTCCAGCAGAAATCTGGGGGACTCGGGAAGGAACACGAGTCCAATGATTGCCGCGAGAGAGGGCAGAGAACACACCAACAGAAACTGGTGCCACGCGCTGAAGTGCTCCTTGTTTTCAATCACCACGCCGATACCTGCGGAACATTTCGGAACACTTCTAATGAAGATAAGGGAGTCCCAGTCAAAACAAAATTCCGTGACCTGTAGTCCGCAAGCAAACTATATCGAGCGAGCGACCTCCGCTTGTCGGCGAAGTTAGTGCCAGCTTTAGCGGATAGAGAACGTCACGTGGTCAGCGCAACGCATTCCCACGGCCTTTATTCTCGATTTTCTACATCGGAGCCGCTATAGCTCCTCAATTATCCTCACGAGGCTGAGTGGGCCCCGCTCCAGTCCCACTACTTCTCAGAAAATCTGGTAGCGCCGGGAATCGAACCCGGGACCTCTGGATCTGTAGCCAGGAACTCTGGCCACTAGACCACAGAGGCGGGCAAAGTAACTAGACGCAAAATCATGCTGCCTGAGAACAGGAGTTTGGTTGACAAGAAGACAAGCAGTGTAATGTGCAAGTAATGAACGCACCTGTTTGGGGCAGCATCACTGAGGCGATAAAGGTGACCAGGATGCCACCAAGTGCCCAGAAGGTAAGCAGTCTGCTGAGGTACTTGCTGCGGTCCGCTTTGCAGAGGAACTCGCTGCAATACGTGAACACGATAGGCAGCAACCCGCCGATGCTGTGAATCGGAAATAGTTGTCACACTCCACGCACGAGTTTTCGAAATGTAATGAGATACACAGGTATCATAACATCAGAGTTATGTCGATTGGGGCACTATGCAACAAGCCGCAAGGTTGCGGGTTCGGGGGTCCCGATGAGGTGGATTTTTCAATTTTCCTAATTTTTACAGCCGCATTATGGCCCTGGGGTCGACTCAGCCTCTAACGGAAATAAGTACCAGGGACCTTCCTGGGAGTAGCGGCCGAAAGCTGACCATCTCACCGCCATCTGTGAGCCGATTGTCTAGAGAAAATGTAGGAATCTCAACATCTCACAACCGCATGGGCCTTCACTGCCTGTTTCAGGCATAGCTTTACCTTTCTTTACGTAAAAATATGAATAGAAAGCAAATTCGTGGAACTGTCGTGCGTATAACTTCAACAGAATCTGTGGAAATATTTATGCTATGCATGTCAAACTACATTTATGACCTTATGGAAGCTGGGCTTTCTTATGGATCAATACAACTGAAAGTCGAAAATTCTAGCAATTTTTGAAGGAATCCTTCTACATCCAATTTTTGACAAAACATGTACTGCTCTTATGGCAGTAACGGTAGAATTTTAGAAATATAGAGTACATATTTCCATTTAGCAGTACCCCGAAGAGGTTGTAGAAAGAAGACAACTGTAACTTAGGAATGTAGTTTAGTGTAGTCAAAGCAACATAACCCACCAAGTCCAATATTGCTGAGTTGGGTATAAGAACATACAGTGTAACCAGGAACTACAACTACGACAGAAAGAGTATAGGATGTTGACTCAGCCGTGACTACCTCAGGGTCGGTAAACAGGGAATAGTGATAAATATTGCAGAGCAGTTGACAAGGGAGGCTATGCCCTATAGCCTATAGCCTATAGTCAGTTAATACCACGTCAACAGACCAGTCCAGCCGAGAACCATGAAACTTCGAGAAATTCTGTCCTCCACCGTCGCCTTCGTTACCATCCAGAGTAAGTGGAACCATGAATTGTAGCTCAGAAAGTTCAGTGCAGTGTTAGACCACCGATCCCCTGCGGCCAAGATGAAGTAGTGACCATTTGGTAACAATGCATCAGCATGTACCTAGTGAAAATTGTAATTCCTAATCAACCTTATCCATGCCCCGCTTCCGAAGGGGATTCCCTGTAGTAAGGCTGGGTAATGGCAGCTGCCGAAACGTCTTAAATTAAAGTCCGTTCCCTCTACCCCCCTTACCTCACAATAAAGGTGTAACAGGTATATATATACCGGATTCATGCTCTAACCCTTTATTAAAAAAAAAATCAGACAATCGAAATGTTATCCCCTTCAATGTAGTCCCCTCCCCGATCCCTACACCGCTCCATGCGAATTTTCCACTGTTGGAAGCAGTGCTGCAGGTCATCTTGTGTTATGCTCTTCAAGAGTTGCGTCGCTTTTGCTTTCACTGCATCCACGGACTCGAACCTGGTCCCTTTCAGCGCAGACTTGATTTTTGGGAAGAGAAAAAAGTCGCACGGTGCTAGGTCCGGAGAATACGGTGGATGTTCCATCACTGGAATGTTGTTTTTTGCCAAATACCTCTTCACAGATAGCGCGTTGTGTGCTGGCGCGTTGTCGTGATGAA